CGTTTTTGTAGGCATTAAACTGCCAGAATTTTAAAAGACGATATCTCCCTTTGCATTGAACTTTCAGCTTCGTAACTGTGCAGATATTGTTTATGCTCAAACGGCAACATTACACACTAACTAACGTTAAAAAAGTGAAATCGCAATCAACCACCCCTTTAAGAACCTCAACCTTTTTGTTTCGACTTCTTTTGGAAGGGTTTGTGCCTTTATTAGAAAATGAATTGCAGAAATTAAATAAATACTCATTTTATGCAATCTGGAAATAGATAGATAGATAGATAGATAGATAGACTGTTATTAACTGTTATCCGCAAGAGCATGAGGGTTAAAGGGCAGGTGTGAATGTGTGTGCCGTTGTCCACCTGAGCGAGTGTTGAGTCTGAACTGTGAGCTGCCCTGCAGGGAATAGATGAGAGAGACCTGACCAAACTCCCGAGACGCGTCCAGGTCTGTGGCGTTCACAAACAACACTGTCGCTCCTGACAGAGAGAGAGAGATAAAAGAAAAAGGTATGAGGATGTAAACAAACCATCAGATAATAAATGTGTGAGACAGACAGCTGTACGAAGAGGAAAAAACAGATGAGGTGACAGACAGGGATGGTCTTCAGACAGGAAGTGGTTAGTGTGCAGCGCTGTGCATTGATGGAGACAGGGTTATGGATTTCAGGATTATCAGAGTGCGTTCAGTACCAGTGACACACACACAAGCGCACAACAGAAGCTGGGCACAGCAAATGTAATTTCCCCTTTGATGATTGGAGGTGAGTCTATTGTGTGGAATAAAAGCATTGAGTGAAAAAATGCATGAGAATCATGTACTTTTCTTCTGCACAAAACCTTCTTGCTCAATTAAAACACAATGATATAAAAGGGAAAAAAAAGAAAAAAAACAAGACAGAAAAAAATATCTTGAAGAAGTTTTGTGGTGTGTCCACAATAATGCTGCACACAGAAGAAAAAAAACTGTAGCTGAACAAACGAAATTAGCATTTTCTGAAGGAAACACCAGTGCTTGTCATGTAGTTTGTTTAGTTGTCTGGTGTGAATGAGAATCAACATTGTTAATTCATTTTAAAAAATATTGTTTCTCCATTTGTAAGGAGTTGCACTCGATAGATGGTTAAATAAATGCAAGAAAGACAAGTCCAATAACAAATCATTATACAAATAGACATAGGAAAAAAGACGGAATTCAGTAAGCAAATACTACAATGAGCAGTATTACTCACATAATACTCAATGATAAATAGTGGGAGATTTTCAAAAAAAAAATAAAAATAAACGATGACCACAAAAACAAAACATTACAAATGACAACATCACTGGCAAATAGTGGGAGATTTTATAAAATAAAATAAGCATAAAAACATATCCAAAACAAAGTGCAAATGGAGCCTGTGTATTAACGAAGTCCCTTTTAAGGCAAGTCATGTCACTTGGCGGCCATCTTTGAAACGCCTCTCGGGCATGCAAGTACAGCTCCTATCTCTTTGAATGGGGAAACATCAAATTCTCCAAAACTGGTCGCCAAGCTTACGATTAAATTTCATATTTGAAATCACCAATGATATCTGACAACAACTGTATCATAAATGTTGTTTAGTTTGCTCAAATAGCGTTATAAAAAGCTTATTTCTCAGGCTAGACCCACCAGTGCGCATGCGCAGTCCTAAGCGCACGTCTCAGAACAGCGGGGGCTTCGTTCAATAGAGCGGCCATATTGAGCGTTGCATTTTTCTCCATTTAAAACTATATAGGTGCGTCCCAAATCGCATACTTATGCACTATTCTATGACGTTTTGTAGTATAAATAGTGTGAGTAGTATGTTCACACTGAAAATTCCAAAAAGAAAAAGTGCACTTTAAATACCCGGATGATGCACTTAAATAACCGAAAAAATGAAGTGTGTAACCTTCTAACAAAATAACCTTATATAATTCATACATACCCGGGGAAGTTGTGGCCTAATGGTTAGAGAGTCGGACTCGTAACCCAAAGGTTGCGGGATCGAGTCTCGTGCCGGCAGGGATTGTAGGTGGGGGGAGTGAATGTACAGCGCTCTCTCCCACCTTCAATACCACGACTGAGGTGCCCTTGAGCAAGACACCGAACCCTCAACTGCTCACCTGGCGCCGCAGCATAAATGGCTGCCTACTGCTCCGGGTGTGTGTTCACGGTGTGTGTGTGTTCACTGCTGTGTGTGTGCACTTTGGATGGGTTAAATGCAGAGCACTAATTCCAAGTATGGGTCACCATACTTGGCCACATGTCACGTCACTTTCACTATACATGGTTGAGTACATAGTGCATAAGTACATAGTGTATGAGTGCACAGTGTATAGTGCGTCATTTGGGATGCAGCTTATCAGTGACACGTCTTGGGTATTCTATAGTCTTTGGTATTAAGCAGTTCAGGTTTTAATAACAGGTTTAGAATGAACCTCTAACCAGATTCTCTGGGGAGTATTTGAACTCTTTGGTTCTGGTTTTGGATGGTCAGAACTGAAACAAAACTACCAAAAGCCTTTGTCCTAACTCTGGGAAAACAGCACTTATTCACACAAAACATTATATTAGTGTGGAACAGAACTAGTGCACAGCTGGCTGAACGTTGTAAATCATCACTGACAGGAATCTAGTTATGTTGTCATGAGGTTTTGAGCACTGGACATGTGCTACATGTTGATGTATTCTTCCATTTTTTGATAATAGAATTGTAAATGTACCTGCAACGATATTCTCAGGTATGTTGACGATGTAAGACGGGAGGCTGAACTCGGGTGGGTTGTCATTCTCGTCCTGCAGAGTGAAGCAGGGAAGAAATCAGTGTTTTAGGTATCTGAAAGTCTTTAAATATTAACTCATTAATTTTACACAGGGAAAACATTTTGGTTATATAAAAAGCTTTTGGTTATAATTAAATGTATTGATGGAGTTCTTTGGGGGTTTAATGGAAACTCACAGGCTGTGGCGATGGGAAATTATTCAATATCAGATGCATACACTGTTTTACCACTTCATTTCAGCTCAACGTTCAGTAATAACACATACACACACAGACGTGGATGTGTCAAACCCCTGCTGTTTTTCAGACGAAATGTGTCTAATCGGAATCATAATAAAAGAGCAGAGAAATGTCAGAGAGAAATTATCCATGGATTAATCATTCTAGTCAATGGACCTCAGAGAAAGCCAATGAATTCAGAATTAACACACAGATCACACAACGCCAAACTGTGTTTGTTTGTGTGTGAGGAACTTGAACCTGAAATGACGGTTCTGGGTAATCTTTGTTTTCACCAGATTCAAAGATGAAGTTAAAGGAATATTCCAGGTTACAAGTTGAGTTCAATCACTTGTGTCGTAACATTAATTTAGACTTTTTCTATAAAAAAAGCTAAATTTACCATTACAGTGAGTCACTTGCAATGGAAGTGAATGAGGACAATCTGTAAACGATAAAATACTCACTGTTACAATAAGGTAATATGATAAGATAATATGATTTTAGGGCAACATTTCTATCTAATTTTACAACTTGTTGCCATGACAATATAACATAAACCCTAAAACAACAGTAAAACTGTCAAAAACAACTTTACAGCTCAAATAATATGCTTTAAACAGAAGAATTAATGTAAGCAACTTTCTAAAATATAAAAGCATCAAATATCTGCTATAAAATCCTCCAATAATTGGCCCCATTTGCTTTAATTCTAAGTGCCTCATAGCAACCTTTATTTTCTTTATTATAAAACCATAGATGAGTCGAAGTTATTTTTTGTTGTAATCAATATTACGCAATAAATGCTGTCAATTGAGCTTAACTGGTATTGAATCCAAAATATTTCTTTCAATTAAAAGACGGTTCTAAATACACAAAATAATGTTCTTTTTAGCAGCATCATATGACCCCTTTAAGATACAACATAAATTAAAAGTTCATCTGTCCTGCTGTAGTTTTTAACATACACTAACACTGAACAGTTTGGGATCAGTATTAATATATTTTAATATTTTTTTGTCCCTGAGATATCATGTGTGTTTATTTCAACTATCCTTTTCTATATATGATCTGTGTGTGTGTGTGCATAGACGAGTTTGTGTTTCAGATGGGTGTTGCCTCCGTTAACCAGTTGACGGCTGTGATTGGTCCTGCTAAACATATAAGGACCGCCCCAAACACTCGTCCTCTGCCTTCGTGCCTCGCTGACTTTGTGCTTCGTGCCACTGTGTTTCACCTTCGTCCTGATGGATTGTGTTTCCTTCGTCTTTGTTCGTTTCGTCATCATTTGATTGTGAAAGAGATATTTTTACTATAGTGAAACTGTGAGTGTTTGTTATTGTAAACCTAACTTCTGATTCTCCAGTTTATCTGACCATCGCCTGTTTGACTACGACTTGGATTCTGATTTGTGTTCACCACAAGTCCTTGTAAAAAGATTTTTGCCAAAGTAAGGGATGTAGGGGGTTAGACGCCATTTTATTTGTATATCTTTTTCACTTTGTTAACGGTTAAGGACGTTAGGGAAGTGAAGCTGTCATTTTTGATCCATTTAAAGCATCCTTGATCAATAAAAGTATTATTTCTTGATCAAAAAAACTTACTGACCCCAAACATTTGAACTGTAGTGTAGCAGACATAATATTACAAACATTTGCATAATTTTTTCCTCTAATCATCACCCCGTAGGATTGCACTCTTTCATGGTGTGGTATATTGAACATTCCCTCGGGAGGTAGGTGTACTCACAAACAGCTCTATGGTGACGGGAACAGTGCTGTTGAGGGACGGGTTCCCTCCATCTCTGGCCATCAGAGTCAGAAAGATCGATCCACCTGGAACCTGCTCATAATCCAGAGGACGATTCACGGTGATGACTAAATAAACAAACAAACAGTTGTTATGACACTCAAATCGATTAAATATAAAAACAGAAACAAATATAAACTAATATTTCAGCACGTGTTTACTAGATAGCCATCTATAATCCATTTATGAAACACCAGAGGTCACAAAGGCTTCTCTAAAGGCATTTTCACGCTTTAAGGTGTTAAACCCAAATCCGATTCCCCGCTAATGCACTGAGCTATGGAGAGCGCATAATGTAACCCATCACCAGCATGAACAAGCTGTGAAATTCAAACAGAGCAATGTTTTTATAAGCATTATATATGTTGTTATTGTTAACTAAAATTATAAATATTAAAATTTGTTTTCATTAATTGAAATCAGGCTGAAAAAAAATTTTAATCTAAATATTAGATTAAAAAAAAAAAAACGTAGAAATGTTGCCTTGACAACTAAAAATCAATGGAAGTTAAATTATGCATTAAATAAAAGAAGAAATAAATAAATAAATTTAAAAAAATTATGCAAACAAAGCAAAGTTTTCATAGTGTTAAATCAGTGTTGTTATTATTAACTAAAACTAACCCAGTCCACCGACTTATGCTTGGTTGGGCCAGAAGCTAACATCTAGCACTCAAACAAACAGAGCAATGTTTTTATAAGCATTATATATGTTGTTATTGTTAACTAAAATTATAAATATTAAAATTTGTTTTCATTAATTGAAATCAGGCTGAAAAAAAATTTTAATCTAAATATTAGATGAAAAACTTAAACTTGCAATTAGAAATGTTATTTTGGCAACTAACTGAAATAAAAATAAATAAAAGCAAAATAAATATATTACCCCCCCACACACACACACACAAAGCACAAAATTACTCAAATTTAAAATAAAGTTTGAATGAAAACTGAAAATAAAAAAGTATTATAGTAGTATAGTTTTATAGTAAAGAAATGATAAATATAGAAATTATAAATAAATTATATACTAATAATAATACTAAAATAAAACTGCACCAAAGTCACAGTATTTCACCCTTCAGAGAAAAAACAAAACAAAAAAAACAACAAACAAGAATGTTACATCACCTTTAAATCTAAAGGTGGCAATGTATGGCAATGTATAAAAGTCATTAAATTAATTGAATATCTGATCACTTTTTGTCCTAATCGAGTATCATTTAAAAATAAAATAAAACAAAAAATAAAATAATGGTATAGTGAATATGATTGAAGGATTACAAAAACCATGTGAACTGGCAGACACACACAACAACACACATCGCCACCTGCTGGTCAGATAAGTGCAGCACCTGCCGTCAAACTGTCAATCACAGCACAGATTAGAGCGGACGGCTGAAATTAGTGCTGCCGTGTCCACATGCGGAGAGAATTAAACACTAACAGAGACATACTGAACACTAACAGAGTGACTGACCCACAATTACACACCAGAACAAGGCTCAGGCACAGGGAGTCTATAAGAGCTGGCTGTTCACATTCCCATACATCTCAATGGCTCTTTTTTTCATTTCCCATTCTTGGTCTGATTGTGCTTGATTCATCGGTGCATTTTTCTCTGAAAAAAACTTCTCAATTCAACTGACATCATCCTAAAACTTCCTAAAACTTTTCAACCCTTCCCATCCATTCTGATACATGGCATCCACTTTTCACCATCCTATCAGTACCTGAGGGACAAAATCAAACCCCACACTACATTTTCGATGAATAATTATTCTGTTTTACTACAAACATCAGTGACGAAATTAAAATGTGTTGAGAACAGCATTTCACCATTCTACGTTTCTTCCGCCTGCCTTTCTAAACTCCACATCTCTTTATGTTTCTCACCCGGGCTCGGATTATTTGTTGTGGAGCCTGTTCGTTCTCCATAAGTGAACCCGTATACGCCTCCTTCTGGAAGATTGGTGCATTGTCGTTTACATCCATCACGTTAATGCGAAGGCGTCCTGTAGTCTCCTCCCCTCCTCCATCACGGGCCAATATTGTTAAAGTAAAGCGCCTCATGAGCTCATAATCCAAACAGTCTCGCAGCGTCACCCAACCTGTCTCAACATCCAATGAGAACCTGGAGGAGGAGTTCATACATGGAAATGAGTCAGCATTAACTGATTAATAGTTGCAAGAGACGTAATTAAAGACACAAATTAATTAACCAGCAAATGAGAACTTTAAATTGTTAGACTGACTGACTTTGGCTGGAGAAATAACTCTGTTATTGTCTTGTATTATTAACAAACTATTTTCCTGTTTAACACTGTAAAGCTGCTTTGACATGACCAGTATTGTATAAAGCGCTATACTCTACCAATAAAGGTGACTTGACTTGACTTAGATCATGCAAAGGTTATGTTCAGAACAGCATTCTACTACCATTAGAATCATATTTTAGCAGTATACAGTATGTATACAGCGTAAGTAGTTTATTTATTTATTTATTTTTTGTATTATACTATTAGTATAATATTTCTCTCCAAGGCTGTGTTTATTAGATGAAAAATATATTGGTGAGAATAAGAGGCCTTTTTCAAAAACATAAAAAAATACATACAAAAACATAAAATAATTATTACAAACTTTTGACAAGTGGTGTATTTACTGTATATAATTATAGTAATTATTTTAGCTTATATTTTAATTACTTATTACTTATTATTACATAAATTTTTACTAAGTTTTAGTTTTGTTATGGGCTTTTACTCTTAAACTTAAAAAATATATATATATATTTTTTTTTCAGTTTTAGTTTTTAGTAATTTTAGAAGCTCAACTTAAACATTTATATATATATATATATACATTTTGTTCATCTAATATTGAGATTTTATTTTATTTATTTATTTATTATTTCAGTTACTGAATTTTTTTTATTTTATAGTTTTAGTGAATAATACACTGCATAGCAAGCCAGAATGCCCAGTCATTTTACATTTTCAGTATATGCAAAAATATGTACTATATTACTGTATATAATATCCCACGATGCAGTGTGCTTGATTTTAACCTCCATTTCCATAAACAAATGAATAATTGTAATTGTAAAATAATGCATTTTAAAATCGGTTTCTTGACTCCCAACAAAACTTGACCGGACTCCCAAAATACATTTTGCACAATAAATAAATAAATGTTTTCAATAAAATAAACTTATTTATAAACAATAATACATAAAAATACAAATGCAACAACCATTTTATTACTGAAATTAGCTGATAACTGGATGTTGCTCATTGAATTAAGTGTTTAATATGGTGATGTCATGAGACAATGCAGTAAAAGCCTACTATTTTTGTTGTTGCATAATGTTTTATAAATAAATAAAAAAAACATAAAAATAGTATGACAGTATACAATCAGTACTGTGTAGCATGCAGTAAACAGTATGCAAGTATTCAATTTCAAACACAGCCACAGAATCAGAATCAGTCTAAGGAAACAGGGAAAAAAAGGCATGCAAATCTACAGGGATGTGGATTAAATTAATCAGAGGAAATTAATGAATTAAACAGGATGCTGTATCAGTGTGAAAGGTCACAGTATGTTAATGAATGATAATCTCACTGGTCTGGCTCATCGCTGAAGTAATACCGAACCACTCCAAACGTGCCAATGTCATTATCCGTGGCCTGCAGAGAGAAACACACAAACAGAGAGCAATGAGCATCATCAAGACGCATACTCTTAGTTGTTCTGTATGTCAGTGTGTGTGTGTGTGTGTGTATCCTTGAGTGTGTTTCAGTGTTTTAATATTGAGATGATGGTGTCAGCAACCCCTGTCCTACCCTACAAAGTACTCTGTTCTGCACGATTAACGCTGAAGCACACATACACACACACACACACACACAAACACAGACACAAGCTCAAACACTCACTCTTCAGGAAGGACCATAAGGGGAAGAACTCTCCTCACACCAGATGGGCTGGCATGAACTGGCCGCCCTGTCCTCTGTCCTAAAACAACACAAGCTTTTGCTTCACCTCTTATAAAAGTCAAGTAAAAGAAAGTAAAAACGAGTGACAATACATAAGTGGTCTCACTGACATATTCACCCACACCTCTATACTCCTTATTTTTGCTGCTGTTTAAACCCCAGTGAGCTGCCTTGATGTCTATTCGATTTGGAGTGCTCTATAAAGACAGCAACTCCACATGTTATACAGAAGTGCATGCACAGAAGACTTGGCTCACAATTGATTACAAAAAAGTTTGATTTTAGCTCGTTACTAAGCTAACAATGTGATACTCTAATGAGCATAAATATACATAACTCACAAATACTGGGTAAAATAGTCAGACAGCCCCGCCCCCAAACTCATGCCATTGGTTGAGACAGAAGCTGCCACAAGTGGCACTCAATTTTTAAAGCGACAAAGCAGTGTTGCTATTGTTAACTAGAACTAATACTATAAAAAATTGTTAATAAAGCAGTAATAAAATAAAATATACATTTTGGATGGAAAACCTAAACTTAAACTTGAATAGAAATTAGAAATGTTACCTTGGCAACTAACTGAACTAAAAAGTTTAAGATGAAATAGTAAAATTACTAAAACTGAAAAAAGCTAAAAAAAAAAAAAAAAAAAAAAAGAAACATAAAAAAAAACTAATAAAAAATGACAAAAGCACATAGCAAAATTACTAAAATGAAAACTGAAAATATAAAAATAAAAGTTTATTCAAAATATTAATAAATACTGTAATAGCATACAAATAATACCAAAATAACACTACACCAAAGTCAAACTATCTCTCTCTCTCTCTCTCTCTAAATGGAATGCTCACACAGTTAAATAGTCTACTCTTAATTATTTTAGCTATCTTTAGAATGGAACGTTTATTTACACTACAGTTCAAAAGTTTGGGGTTGATAAAAAATGCAATTATTTGATAAAAAAAACGTTAACCAATTTAAAATTACATTTTTCTCTTTTAATACATTTTAAGATGTTACTGTGATACTGTGATATTAAATATTGTGATATTTTAAGATGTAGTCCTGTGATGGAAAGCTGCATTTTCAGCATCATTCCTCCAGTCTTCAGTGTCACATGATCCTTCAGAAATCATTCTAATATGCTGATTTGCTGCTCAAGATACATTTCTTATTATTCTTATCAATGTTAAAAACAGTTGAGCTGCTTAATATTTTTATGGAAACGAATATATTTTTCAGGATTCTTTGATGAATAGAAAACTTGAAATAGAAATATTTTTGTTAATTTATAAATGCTTTTACTGTTACTTTTTTAAAAATCAATTTAATGCACACTTGCTGGAAAAAAAGTCTTCCTTTCTTTCTTTAAAAAATTAATTAATTAATTAATTAAAATAAACTTTTGTAGTGCATAACCAACTTTTCTGCATCAAAACAAAAATCTGTATTTTCGTTCTGAATGAATCAATTAATGTCCAAAAAACGATCAAGTTAGACGTGTAAAATATTAACACCTTGGAGCATGATGTAAACAAAATATATGAATATGTATCATTCAGTATCAAAGCATGTTACGTTTTTCTCTTGAAAATGGGAAATAACGTGTTTCCAGAAACCACAGCGACAGATTCTGAATTTGGCACTCGTCAACATCACGAAAACTGCCCCAAACGACACTACATTTGATAGTAAAAACAGCACAGGAACATTAACAGATATCCCAGTGAAGTGAATGCTGTGTCATAGAATAGAGACAGCATAACATGTGTGTGTTTGCATGTAGAAATAATCTCTCCATTGTCCTCTCTATCGCTCCTTCATGCCCTTTTGCACAAACAAAATCCTCCTTTTCTTCAGGCTCAGTCCTCACACTTCTCTCTGTTTACCCCTCTCTCTCTCTCTCTCTCTCAGTGTGATTGACAGGCCCATAAGTGCAGTGATGACAGTGCCGGGGCTCCGGGTGTTAGCGTGACAACAGTCGCTACGATGACAGGAGACTTAATGCAGGTCAGGTGAGATAGACAGGGATCAGAATGGAGAGAGGACGGCAGAGGTGATAGCATCTCTCTCTCTCGCTCCTCCATCCCTTCTTCCTGCTCATCTTTTCTGCTCAGTCTGGCAAAGACACACACCTGAAACTCCAGACAGCAGCCCAACAGAAACACAAAGACACTAAACTTCAGTAAAAGAGCAGAGGAACGGCCTGAAGACAGGCCTGAATGTGCACCTGATAGTTTTGACCAAACCCTGAAAAGATGGTTCTCATTGATTGACACATGTCAGACAACATCTCAGCGTGAATGAAAGCAAAAGCGACACCAGGGTGAGGAGAGATCCTCAACAGAGATCCAGCTGTGACAGATGAGACAAGAGATCATCAGCAGAACGAAAAAGTCTCTTTTTATTCACTCAGACCAAACAGCCAACAGTTAGTGCCATGACCACAACATAGAAACAAATAAAAACAAAAGTACATACAATGTCTCGTTTTGGAATACCTGAAATATATATCGTACTTAAGCTGCGTTTACATTGCAAGTCTTAATGCACAGATCCAATCTGTTGACCATATCCATTTTTTTTTTTTTTTGTTTACCTTAGAGCCCGCC